ATGCAGACTAACCTACCACTTGCTTCCGTGTGTGTGTGTTTTTCTTAACTCATCCACATTTATTTACCTTAAAATAAATTTACAGCATTTAGATACAATAATTAATCTTGTTACTTCACTAATGGAGCTTAGTGGGACCTGGAGGTCATCCTGATGCCTCCCTTCCTGTCCCTTTCCATGCCCAAACCCAAGCTGGGGGCGGTCGCAGGTTACAGAAGATTTTGGAAGTGCGCCCGCGGATCTATGTTTGTGTGGCCCCTTCACATACGATCTTAAGAAAACTTACTTTAATGCAGAAATTAACTCTGTGGTGTAGCTTTTACCAGTAGCGAGGTAGAGTTCAGCATAGTTCATGACTTGCCCAGGGTCACACAGCCAAGTGGCTGTTTAATATCTGTCCCCTCCATTAGATCATACGTCTAATAATGGCCAACAGGGATTATTTCTCTGTTGTTCTCTGCTGTATTCCCAGGATATTAATATCTTTGTTGAACACATAAATGAGAAAATGAATGAATGAAAGAAATAATGGCTAGAATCCTATCAGCTTCTGCCAGGTGAGAAGGAGCCAGCCTTTCTAGAGTACCTTTCAGTAGGCTGAATGCTGTCTGAGCCTTCTCTTACTTGTTCCTCACCAGAATCCTGACAGAGGTGAATTAATTTGCCGGAGGCCACACAGGTAAAAAGGGACAGACTGGCCTGGAACCATGTTTCTCTGACTCCACTGCAAGTGCCCTCATCTCCACTGCTCACTGCATGTTCGGAGATGGGACCTTGACCAGCCCATCCCTCCCAGCCTGACAGCTCTGACTTTTGGTGGACTGGCCTCCTCTGTGTTCACTTCTTGGAGGCTCCAACTTGTTTAAGGCAAATGGAATATGACAAAGGCAACCGTGGCCATCAGAGTGCCACTGGGAAGTTTAAAGTGGTTCCTGATCTCGCAATCAGGCGGGCTTTTATGGAAACCAGGTGTATCCCTGTATTCCAATGATTAATCACTTTAACTATAGTTTTCTTCTTTGCATGCTTTGTTAGTTTTTAATTAATCATGATGATAAACCACCTAATTACAAATGGTGGCCTGTGGGTTAGTGAAATATCCACCAAACTGGCTTGCTTTCTCTCTGCTGTGTCGCAAGTTCCACCCCATTTTGCCCATGACTGCTGCAAGGTTCCCTCCCACCTGCCTGCCTACGTAGGGCGACAGTATCACAGGGTGGTGCAGCCAGAAAGCCCTTCGACGGTGTCCTATGTTAACATTTGCAACTACAGTGAGTCCTGGAGGACGGCACCGTGGCAGCTCCTTTGACACCACATTGCAAGTCAGCACAGGTCCTGGGCCTTCCCCGATGTGTTTTCCGCTGGCTGCCCCCACCCTCTTCCTAACCACCTGTGTGTCGTTTCCCAGGCGTCACTTATTTCTCCTTTTATTTACCTCCTACTTTTCCACTTCTGGCCTCGTTCTGCCTGGAGGAATGTTTTCTGTTTCCACGCTCTGCTGAATTTTTGTTGCTGTTATTTCGTTTTTATTTCATAATCATCAACTTAACTCTGCAATCCAACTAGGCATGGAAGGGAATGAGGAAAACATGGAACCCAAAGGGAAGGGCAGTGAGAGCACAAAGATGATAGGATACGGCGAGCAAATGCGGTGGAGGGGCTGCTATCCTTTGTCTGTGTCCCCATTCAAACCTCAGCTTTAGCTGTATCTCCCAGAATTCCCATGTGTTGTGGGAGGGATCCGGGGAGGTGACTGAATCATGGGGGCTGGTCTTTTCCGTGCTGTTCTCATGATAGTGAGTAAGTCTCACGAGATCTGACGGTTTTATCAGGGATTTCCACTTTTGCTGCTTCTTTATTTTTTTCTTGCCACCACCATGTAAGAAGAGCCTTTTGCCTCCTGCCATGATTCTGAGGCTTCCCCAGCCATGTGGAACTGTCAGTCCAATTAAACCTCTTTTTGTTCCTAGTTTCAGGTATGTCTTTATCAGCCCTGCGTAAATGGACTAATATGGGGTGCTCTCCTGAGCTACAGAAGGAGGGGTCTGGTGGTTAAGATAAAACACAGGTCAAACTTATTCAAGTTGCCCACAGTCAGCAATGGCGATCTTCTTGCTGGTCTTGCCATTCCTGGACCCAAAGCGTTTCATGGCTCCAAAATATTCACACCTTCTTTCACCGTGCCAAAGACCCCATGCTCGCCATCCAACCACTCAGTCTCGGCAGTGCAGATGCAAACCTGAGAACCATTTGTGTTGGATCCAGCATTGACCATGGACAAGATGCCAGGAACTGTATGCTTCAGGATGAAGTTCTCATCACCAAATTTTCTCCCCACAGATGGACTTGTCTCCAGCGCCATTATTGTGCATAAAGTCACCACCTTGACACATAAACCTGGGAATAATTCTGTGAAAGCAGGAACCCTTAAAACCAAGTCCTGGGCCGGGCGCGGTGGCTCACGCCTGTAATCCCAGCACTTTGGGAGGCCGAGGCGGGTGGATCACGAGGTCAAGAGATCGAGACCATCCTGGTCAACATGGTGAAACCCCGTCTCTACTAAAAATACAAAAAATTAGCTGGGCATGGTGGCACGTGCCTGTAATCCCAGCTACTCAGGAGGCTGAGGCAGGAGAATTGCCTGAACCCAGGAGGCGGAGGTTGCGGTGAGCCGAGATCGTGCCATTGCACTCCAGCCTGGGTAACAAGAGCGAAACTCCACCTCAAAAAAAAAAAAAAAAAAAAAAAAAAAAAAA